TTTTCTTAAAGCTTATTTAATTTTACAATTTTTTTTAAGATTTATTTATTTATTATGTATACAACATTCTGCCTCAATGTATGCCCGCACGCCAGAGGAGGGCGCCAGATCTCAGTACAGATGGTTGTGAGCCACCATGTGGTTGCTGGGAATTGAACTCAGGACCTTTGGAAGAGCAGCCAGTGCTCTTAACCTCTGAGCCATCTCTCCAGCCCCTAATTTTACAATTTTTTTATATCTTAGATTCTTCATTATTCTAGATAAATTTTGTGTTGGGAATGAAACTCAGGCAAGGCTCATTCTAGCCAGTTGCTCAACCACATAGCTTCTCTCATGTTTAGAAATATTTGATGTCTGAAAATATTTTTTTGGTATGATTTTAGTACATAGATAAAGCCCTTTACATAAAATTCTTCTGTATTAGTATTTACTTCATCCATGGGTTTTCTCACAGCAGGAAAATTGTGCAGTTTGATTGTGAAGTTAAACTTCATTTCTAGTTTTTAAAGTGTTTGTTGATTTTATGTATGATAGCTTTCCTGGAATTCATATATGGAGATCACACTGGCCTCACACTTGGGATTATTCTGCTCCCTTCAAGAGCTGGGATTACAGGTGGGTGCCTAGTAAAATATCATTTATCTTCAAGTTATTATCACCACCTATATATGCCTAAATGATTGTGCATTGTAGTAAATATGACATCTGCCTTCAGCCCTAGCTCTTGCTTACAAGTAGACAACCATTGGGATAGATGTTTCCTACTCTTCACTTGCAAGTTAGGATTCTTGAGTTCAGATTACTTCAGTGCAGAATACATTTTAGTCCTATGGAAGTATGGAGACGTGTGTTTATGTTAAGTGAAGCTATTATTACTTTTCTCCAACATTAACAATGTACCAAGAAGGTCCAGACAAATATAAATTATGGAATAAATTTTTCCTACAGTCTGAGACTATTTTCTTTTAGGGCACTGAAAACAGGTTGTGCTCCTTGTAGGGACCATCAGTGCCTTGTGTTGTCACAACACTAGACCTGCTTAGACAGTTTGGCTTTTAGGATCAGCTTGCTGTTTCTTGTGAATGTAGGGGTCCCGGGTTAACAAAGAGGGGAGTAAGAGACTGAGCATAGAGGACTCCCCTTTTCCCTAAATCAGCTGAGTCCCACTATGTATGCAATCCTGGTGTTTATTTCTATACTCTTCCCTCTTTATGCTTAGAGCCCGATCCATCATGGGCCACTACTACCCCTATTTTTCTTGGCAAATTTCTTAGTATAGAAGCTTTTATTTAGGTTTTCCTATGTTTGTACTTTGCCTACATGTATGTGTCTGTACCACACACATATCCGATACCTATGGGAACCACAGGTGGATGTCAGATTTTCTGCTGCTAGAATTAAAGATGGATATGGTTTGTGGGTGCTGATAATCACACCTAGGTCCTATAGAAAAGCAACCAGTGTTCTTAATTGTTGAGCATATGCACTAGTCCCTCAGTTGGTCCCCATTGTAGGAAACCTGGTTGATCTTGTCAGACCTTAGAGCTGTTGTTTGGTTGCTCATTTGTTTGTTTAGTTTTGTGAGACAGATCCTAAGATGGCCTAGACTGATCTTGACCTCTTTGTGAATCCTTGTACTTTTGATCCTTCTTGTGTTTCAAGAAATTCTGGCTGTATAAGTGAGCACCTCTGCCATAGCTGGTACGTGTTGTTGGGTAACATGAATGCAGGGCGGACACTCCCCCAACTACATCTCCAGCCCCTATCATAATGCTTTAACAGCAACCAGTGGTTTACACATGGGCTTGATATACAATACCATAGGCTTCTGGTAATCACAGATTTTTACCGTATTTTGTCCATCCCTAAGAATGCTAACACACTCCATGAGCAAACTTTACTCTTGTACATTTCTACAATAAACTGAGCTTTGAAAGTAAACCTACGAAAGCATTAAAGTGTTCCTCATTCAGCAGTAGCTCAGTGTTTAAAAGTCATCGAGACTACCTGATTTATTTGGCAAAGGCAATTCACAGATAAGCCAATGTCTCTTTAGTCACATCTGATTTTCACTTGAAACATGAAGGGATACAGTGTGCTGACACTGGCAGCTAGACTCTCATTGCCAAGAACAAGTAATGAAAGGAAGAAGGGTGGTGACTAACCCATCACAGGTGAGTGAGCACATAGGGCAGAGTAGAGCCAGCTTGTCTTCAGGTATACCCTGAGCAGTGTTCTCTGGCCATTTGACCCTCTGGATTTCACATACAAAGTTCCCTCTGTATATCTTCCTCCATATTACACAGCTCTTTGTAAATATCAGTAGCCTTAGAGTGGCTTTTTTTTTTTAAGTTTCAGGATCTCCAATCAACCTGGATGCCAACTGAAGTCACCATCACATAGGCCTCCTGAGGTTTTTGCAGGCACCAGGGAAGCAGAATACCACCCCTTTCAAACATGTAGTTCTTTATGCCTGCAGTTTTTCTTCTCTCCTTACAAGAGACATAATTTTCAAAAAGGAGTACACCTGATACATGCACTCATGGGCTTCCATTGCTGCTCATTCACATTTGGGGTAAACTCAGTCTTGGGGCTTTTGTCAGTTGGTCAGTTACTTTTTAAAGACTTGTATGCCAGTTTTTCTCCTGATATAGATATTTCTTCCTTGATTTTGTGGAGATCTTAGGCTCAGAAAATTCTTGAAGCACCAAGACTAAGTCAGTCCAATGCTATCAATCTTATATTGCTTCTGGGTCATCAGGGATGAAGTGGAGTTAAATTTATCCATCCACACCTTACTGCTGTTAATGACATATTCATGGGGCTGAATAGATGGCTGGCAGCTAAGATCAATGGTTGCACATTCACAGGGTTGGCCTGTGATTCCAAGCACCCAAAAGAAGTTCCGAATGCTCTGTAGCTTCAGTCACAGAGGGCCTGACAAGATCTCCTGCTTTCCACTGGTACCTGGTATGCATTTTGTATGTACGGTGGCAAGACTTATAGCCTGACATTTTAATTCTTTTAAAATACCACATACATGAAGAAAACAATTTTTACAATCTGGAATGTGTGTGTGTCTTTCATTTGCCTATCATTTGAATATCTGGTGACCTAAGAGGCCAGAAGAGGCATCAGATCTTCTGGAACTGGAAATACAAGTAGTTCTGAGCCAGCTGATGTGGGTACTAGGAACAAAACATGGGTACCCAAGAGGAGCAGTGCTACAGAGAAAAACTTTCAGCTCTGAAATATGCCGTTAGAATTACTCCTATCACGAGGGACTCTCCACATTTTTTTTTTTGTGTCCATTGTTAACATGGTTCCCTTAAAGAATGCAAAGATAAAAAGGTTTTGATGAAAACCGTTGGAGTCCAGTCAGATTCCAGTAAAATTCCATAACCTGAGACATGCTCTTTTTTTTCTGGAATTTTTAAATTGTTTTTTTAAGACAGGATATCTCTACATGGATATCCTGGAACTCACTATGTGAACCAATCTGGCCACACAATCAGAGAAACTGGACTGCTACTGTCTCTCCCTAGTGCTGGGATTATAAACATGCACCTCTAAGACCAGCTATGTTTTTAAATGACTTATGAATGAGAAAATGAAAGAAAATGAGACTTAAGTAAGAATCATCATGGCTTTGATGTATAGTAATTCTTGAAATTCTATAATAATAATGACAACAACAAAGCGGCAAATCATTATGTTCTCAATAATTGGGTTATTTTCTTTGCTTTAATTTCACCCACTAGAAATGTTTGAACTGTGTGTGTATTCACCTGTGCCATGGTGTGCATGTAAGAGGGAAACTTACAGGTGTCTATTATATACTTCCCTATGTGAGCTGTAGAGCTGAGACCTAAGGAGTCCAGTTTGAGTGCAAATGACTTCATATGTGCATCATTTCGGCTATAAAATATTTTATGTATGTGCTGGTCTATGGCTGTGCATATACCACACCCCAAGTGAAGAAATAACAGAACATGTATAGGAGTAATATGTGTCTCCCAGAATGTGAACTCAGGTTCAGTTACTTTAGCAGCAACCGATTTTACCCACTGAAAAGCTTTGCCATCCATTTGTCATTCTGTGGAAGTGTTTTGCACAAGTGCTTAGTCCTCAGAATAAACCAACACATCCCAAAATTTAGAAAAAAAAAAAAAAAAACAGAAAAAGAGCTAGCAGCACATCACTTTCATTTACAAATAAGATTTATTATTCAAATTGTCCTGTTTTTTTCCACCTTTAGTAACAATATGTTTACATACTGAAAAGACATTTTATTGTTACAATGTTTCAACTAATCATATTTGAGCATCATTGAGACAGTTAAGTGGGGAATGTCTGTGGTGTGCAAGGCTGGATCATGAGCTTGATATTTATATAAAGATGGCAAAAAGTGGACTACGCAAAGTTGTCTTCTCGTCTTGACATATCTGTCATGATGTGAAAACCCATAATTACATCACATAACACACACAGAATTTTTTAAATAAATCTCATTGCTGTTACAGTATCTGGCATCTCTTCATAATTCCCCTAGAGGGAAGTACTTTAAGATCTAGTGCCAAACAGATAACTAAAGAGAACAAGAAGAGCATGGAACATCAAATAATATATGCATATTCATATCAAATCAAGATCTGTTGTGAGATATACAGTAAATTATTATTTATTCAATTTTATTATATCTCTACCAGAGAGATGAAAATGCTGCTTTGGATACACACATGAGGTATTTATTGATTACTATATCCTCTTCTATTAAGCATTTTAATATCAACATTGTTAAGAGGTTTAAACAAAATAACACATGCAGTGAACACATCTTTTATCCTTGGACTTGTACTCAAGAGTTTGATACAAGCGCAGCTCTGGACCTGTGCGGTGTTTGCTCTCTGCTCTTGCATCCCCTCCGTCCAGCCACCATGCAGCCAGCAGAGCCTTGGCTGCGCCCCCCCCCCCCCCCCCCCGGGCGCCGCAGTTTCCCGGAGTCTGGCGGCCGCCCGTCACCAGGTCCTGGTGAATGCCCAAGGTGCCAGAACGATGCGTTCTGTTGCCTTTACAGCAGCTGGAGAACAACTTGCTGGCATGCCAGGAAAACGACAGGCTGTCACCCACACAAAAATTTTCTCTGCTACTAAGCCACTGATTGGATATCGTTCTGAGCCCAAAGCACAGAAAGCGGCGGGTGCTGTGAAGAATGACCCTATAGCTGTTGCCCTGGCCCATGGTGTGGATAAAGCTGAAGATAAACTTATTGCTGTGTATGATTTAGGTCAATACTTTGATATTTCGATCCTGGAAATCAAGAAAGGAGTGATTGCGGTGAAATCCACTCATGGGGACACTGCCTTATGCGGTGATGACTTTGACCAGGATTTGTTCTGGCACATCGTGAAGTTCACGCAGGAGACAGGGCTTCATTTGATCAAAAACTACATGACCGTTCAGAGGGTTCGGGAAGCTGCTGAGAAAGCTGTGTGAACTCTCCGACTCTGTACAGACAGACATCAACTTGCCATTTCTTACAACGGATGCTTCTGGACCCAAGCATCTGAATATGATGCTAACTCGCACTCAGAACGCATCGTCGCCCATCTAATCGACAGAACTATTGCTCTATGCCAGAAAGCTCTGCAAGATGCCAAAGTCAGCAAGCATGACGTAAGAGAAGTGATTCTGGTTGGTGGCATGACGAGGATGCCCAAGATTCAGCAGACTGTGCAAGGTATTTTTGACAGAGCCAAACTTATTCACAGGAATACCACTATTCCAGTCAAAAATTGCCAGATGGCGTCTGAACAGGAAGGTTCAGGAAGTTCTGGCACTGGGGAACAGAAGGAAGACCAGGAGGAGGAGAAACAGTAACAGTGGCAGCAGTGCACTGAGAAGCCAGGAGTAAAGGGACTCCGGTCTTTTACTGTGCTTTTGAGTTACATTGTTTTGTATAACTTTTTCAATAAATGTCCTATGTGTATATGGGGTGACTTTGCAAGACAAAGCTACCTGTGCCATGCATGGTCTGTAGGTACAGAAGCTAAGTCAGTGGATAACACTGTTAGCCATGGCTTAAATAGACACAGGATAATGAATGATGAAGTCTTTTGCGGTCCTAAACCATACCTTCCAAGCTACACCCTTGGATGGCCTGTGTCTGCCACCCATATCCTTGATGATTGTTACTTTCAACTATTTTGGAGTTTTTTTTTTAAATAAAATTCTAAAAAAAAAAAAAAGAGTTTGATACATGAGAAACAAGAGTTGAAATGTATCCCTGACTAATTACTGACATCCATGCCTAGCTGGATAACAAACAACATCTCAAAGGACTTTGTGAAAATACGAAAAACAAAACTGGAACAACAACCCACCACCGTTTCACAGATAGCATTGCTTTAAAATATGATCACATATTGCCTGATATTTAAGTAAGCAATGGACTACTTGGATGGTAGGTATTCCATTCTATACAGTGAAGTAAAAAAGTATCTGCCAAGCAACCGAAAGTCCAACAGAAGATGAGCAGAAGAAAAGCCTAACAAAATGGAACAAATAGACTAGCCACACACAGAGCAAACTTCATTACCCATTCCCAAATTTTCAAAATACAATCCACAAACTCAACTGCCCGTCTTTACCATTGCACTAGTTTGAACACGCTACATAATCTACTTCTTCCAGGTTCTGATGAAAAGAAGAAAAAGACTTTTCCTTGAAAATGTAAACAACTGTGATGTTTAAAGTCTCTACCAAATTGTTTACATAAGTAGGGCTTTTCTATCAAATGTGTTTTTCCCTGTTTCCTAATATCAAGATGATATATAAAGGCTGTAAAATATTCACGGTGTAAGAGACATGTTCAAGCAGTAAAGACAAGTCCATTCCCTGGGACCAAGGTCAGGTTCTTGATAACTTCCTAAAACTTTTGCTACTAGAAAATTAGAAGGCCTAACCTCCTTGAGAACCAGGATAAACATGTACATACCCACAAAGACACATTGATATCACTCACTTAAAACTAAAACAAGTCATTAAACAAATTTTCACTTGTGAATGTTTTTATTCATTCCTGTAAAACAGCAATTTTCTTCATCATGGATTGGTTCATGTAGCAGAAAGTAAGTTAGTAGGGTTGAAGTCAGAGAAATCAACCCTACTCCATAGATGGTATCATTTGGGAAGATTTAGGAACAGTTGCCCTGCTGTAAAAACTTTGCCACTGGGGTGGGCCTGAGCGTTTACATCCTTACACCATTTCCAGACCCCACTCTCCATGTCAAACTGCAGGCTGGGGAGGTGAATTCTTAGCTTCTTGCTCTGGTTGCTGTGTCTGACACTTGTTGCCACGCCTCTTTCATGGTGATCCTGTATCTCTCTGGAATCAAGGACCCTTTTGTAAGTTGCCTTAGACTTGTTTTTACTACAGCAACAGAAAAGGCACTAGGACACATACCTAATGTTTAAACCTGGATGAGTCATTTCGTAAAGTTGAATCAGAATGAATCTGAAAGGGTAAACTTTTCATTTAAATTCTCAGGGCTTTTGTCCATATGAGTTTGAATTCGCAAACAAAATGAACAGGGATATCATGAAGCTTGAACAGATTGTTGACAATTGCCAGATTTTTTCTCCAGAAAAAAATATTCTTCTGTATCTAAATGTAAGTGTGTTGGCTAAATATCTTACCAAATTCTTTGTAGATATAGTCCATTCTGCATTAGTTTTTTTTTTTCAGGTCCTCAAAGAGCATTGTAATATGCAAGAGCTATATTAGATCAATTACACAGTAAGAGTTTTACTACCATGAAGTGCATAACTTTTCCACACTGACTACATTTAAAGGGTTTCTCTGCAGTATGATTTTTTCTCATGGATTCGAAGACTGCTGACACACGCAAAGGCTTTATCACACTGATTACATTCATAAGGTTTCTCTCCAGTGTGTATTCTTTATGGATTAGAAGATCACTGTGATATGCAAAGGCTTTACCACATAGGTTACATTCATAGGGTTTCTCTCCAGTATGTGTTCTTCTATGCATTTGAAGATGTCTGTGACATGCAAAGTTTTTATCACACAGTTTACATTCATAGGGTTTCTCCCCAGTATGTGTTTTTTTAATGTATTAGAAGACTATGCTGATGTCCAAAGGCTTTACCACTTTGATTGCATTCATAGCGTTTCTCTCCAGTATGTGTTCCTTTATGTTTTTGGAGACTACTGCTATATGCAAAGGCTTTATCGCATTGATTACATTTATAGGGTTTCTCTCCAGTATGTTTCCTTTTATGTTTTTGGAGACTGCTGTGATCTGCAAAGTCTTTACCACATAGATTACATGTGTAAGGTTTCTCTCTACTATGTGTTCTTTTATGTATTTGGAGAGTACTGTTATGTGCAAAGGCTTTATCGCATTGATTACATTTGTAAGGTTTCTCTCCAGTATGCGTTCTTTTGTGTATTTGAAGATAACTATGATATGCAAAAGCATTACCACAGTGATCGCATTCATAGGGTTTCTCTCCAGTATGTGTTCTTTTATGTTTTTGGAGATTACTATGATGTGCAAAGGCTTTATTGCATTGATTACATTTGTAGGGTTTCTCTCCAGTATGTGTTCTTTTGTGATCTTGGAGACTACTCTTCTGTGCAAAGGCTTTACCACACTGATTACATTTATAAGGTTTCTCTCTACTATGTGTTCTTTTATGTATTTGGAGAGCATTGTTGTGTGCAAAGGCTTTACCACACTGATTACATTCATAAGGTTTCTCTCCAGTATGTGTTCTTTTATGTATTTGAAGATTACTGTGATAGGCAAAATCTTTACCGCACTGATTGCATTCATAGGGTTTCTCTCCGGTATGAGTTCTTTTATGTATTTGAATATAACAGTGATATGCAAATGTTTTACCACACTGGTTACATTCATAGGGTTTCTCTCCAGTATGTGTTCTTTTATGTGTTTGAAGATGACCAAGTCTTGAAAAGGCTTTTCCACACTGATTACATTCATAGGGTTTCTCGCCACTATGTGTTCGTTTATGTATCTGGAGCAAACTGTGACATCCAGAGGCTTTATCACACTGAATACCTTTGTAGAGTTTCTCTTCAGTATGAATTCTTTCATGGCTTTGGAGATGACTGTGATATGCAAAGGCTTTAACACACTGAGGATATTCAGAGGGTTTCTCTCCAGAATGACTTCTTTCATACCTACAAAGATTAGCACATGTTAAAGCTTTACCACATTCATCACTGACGAGTCTTGACATCTACATCAGTTAATTTACAATTAAGTCTAATTGTAAAGAGCAAGGCTTTTATACTCTACAGGGTTTATACTCATGGCACTCCCTTCATTAAGGGCTGTTTTCTGTCTCTGAAGATGCCTGTGATGGTAAAAGCCTTTATTACATGGCTCCCATTTACAGCCTCTTCCTTCTATTTAAGATTTTTCACAATTTAAGCAGAACTGAAAGAACTCAGAGCTTTACCATACATATTGCATTCCTAAGTTTTCATATGGTGCGAGTGATACTGCATTTGCGAGATGAACCAGGACATACAGAAGTAGTTATACATTCCAATACTCATAGAGCATTTCTGCAGTGTGAGTTTACTGATATAGTCCCAATGACATTGGGAAACCAAGTAATTCTAAATTTGTTTCATATTTAACAATTCTGCTCAGATGGAGGACTACTTCATATGCCCTGACTGTTCGGGAAAGAGTTATATTGCTTCTTTCTGTATCCGGGTGCTCTCAATGCTTGTGTACAGAGTGACATAGGAAATACCTAGGTTTGAACATTGCATGCACATAGTTTGACTTTCTGTTCCTCATAGACGTGCAGTATAGGGATTAAGGTTACGTCACAACAAACTTTCTGATTCATAATCTGTTAATCTTAACTGAATAGCATCACAACAAGAACATGAGTAACAATAGCTTTTCTGTGCACTATTTGCTCGTTAGAAGGTTTTGGACATATACTTATCACCTATTCAATGTATATACTCTGCAATACCTGAGTAGGATGAAACTAAATGGATTTTCAGTTCAAGAGCATAGCTTCCCTGGGGATATGAAGCAAATGGTGACATCAGCTAAAGCAGCTAATTCCTTGCTGTCTTTCTTAGAGGAATGTCTTGGAAACACAGGTCAGCTAACTAAAATTGAGGGGTTTTTCTTTTTTAGAATTTGTATTGTTGCTTTTCTTTAAAATTTCCAGGAAACATTAAAATTTCTTCAGAGAACATTTTCATCACTTGCACATAAAATTACCTTCCATGTCTTCTAGAATTTTGGCAATGTTCTTCAATGTTATGGTCTTTCCAACTGTAGCCTAAAATACAGTACAAGAAAATGTATGATATGTTATTGGGAATTGTTCACAATTTAACTTACTAGACTCAGATAACCTTAGAATCTTGCCTAATCATTCACCTCATTCTTCCTCTTTCTCAACTGAAATTATACACGCGAACCAATAAACAACAAACGCGGTCCGCTTATTTGGAAACATAAAGGAAAATCCCCAATCTTACCTATAGCAGTGAGGTTCCTGTAGGTCTCCAGCATCACATCTTTGTACAGGCTCTTCTGGGAGAGATCCAACAAAGTCCATTCTTCCCAACTGAAGTCGAGATGCACATCATTGTAGGTCACTGCATTCTTAAATGCCCCATAAATGTAAACAAAAGAAAGCATGACACTGACAACATTGAAAATGTATACTTCCTTGACAATATAGCCTCATAATTCTGGTGCTTCCCATACTTATTCCATGACACAGAATTTTAATGTAATCACCAAGTCTCTTTAGAAGTAAAATGAATAAGAGATTCACTTGCCACATCTGTATCCTTTGAAAGCTAAATGCCAATTAACAGAGACAGAAGAAGATCAATAGTACTGACTACACACCAAAGAAACTGAATGATCAATTACTAATTACAAAAAAGACAGTCAAGCTGGGTGTATTGGCTTATGCTTTTACTACTAGCACTCAGGAGGCAGAGGCAGTTGAGTTTAATTGAGTTAGATGGCGCTGTGGCCTACTCAGTGAGTTTCAGGACAACCGGAGTTACATATTAATAGCACCCTATCTCCCTCACAAAAATCAATCAAAGTTCTGTATTGAAGTGCCCCAGTTTAAACTGTACCATTAATAAGATTTTTACTAAAAGGGATGTGTAATTTTACAATTGAAAATTAAAGCTAAAACATTAGCAATGTAAATATTGATCATAAGTAAAAACAATAGGACAGTTAAGATGGCTCAGCAGTTAAGCGCTCTTGCTGGTCTTGCAGACAGGTGTGCTCAACTGCCTGCCACTACTTACTGAAGGGTCCCCAATTACCCATTACTCCAAGTTGTGGGGTTCTGAGGTGATCTTATAACTACTAGGGGAACACACATATGTGGTGTAAAGACATGCATACATGTAGAAGACACATATCTGTTCTAAAGGATTCAAAATAAACAAAGTAGGTAAGACCAGTTGCAGCAGGTTTTGTATGAAACTGCATCCAGGGATTAGGAATTATTTTGTCTAATTCTGCCATTAACTGAAGGCTTAAGAGGATGGAGCCTTGCCCGTAAGATGCTTTGCTAGGCTTCTACTATAGAGCAAGTGCCTTCTCTTGAATTGGGATGATCTCCTTAAATGTTCCTGCCTCTGAATGTCATCTGCGACTACATTTTCTGTTCAACTATTTGCTTTTTATCACTGTAAACAATACCTATAAACAAATCCAACCCTACAGAAAATACTAGAAGGAAAACTCCAATCCAAGGAAGTTAGCTGTACATACAAAACTACAGGCAATAGAAAAATTCCACACCACCAAACCCCTAAAAAGGAAAACACACATCCAATACTACCACCACGAAAAACAAACCAAAAAAAAAAAAAAAAAAAAAAAAGAAAGAAAACCAGGAATTAATCACTGGTCACTACCATTTCTTTATATCGATGCACTCAATTCACCTGTGAAAAGACACAGTCTAACAGAATGGATACTAAAACAGGAGCTGTCCTGCTGCTGCATACAAGAAACACACCTCAACTTCAAAGACAGACATTACCTCAGAGTAAAAAAATTGAGAAAAAACTTCCCAATCAAATAGACTTGATAATCAAGCTGGTATAGCTATCCTAATATCTAACAAAATATACTCCAAACTAAAATTGATCAAATCAAGATGGAGAATGACATTTCATATTCATCACAGGAAAACTCCATTGAAATGAAATCTTAATTTGAATGTTTATTCCCCAAATATAAGGGCAAAAACATTTGTAAAAGAAACATTATGAACGCTTAAATCACACATCAACCCCCACCACTAATAGGAACAAGAAAAGGCTACAACTCTCTCCATAACTATTCAAAACAGTACCTGAAGTTCTAGCTAGAGCAGTAAGACACAAAAGGAGATCAAAGGGATACAAATTGGAAATGAAGTCGAACTTTTGCTATTTGCAGATGATATGACAATACACATAAGCGATCCCAAAAATTTGATGAGGGAACTCCTACAGCTGATAGAGTTTCAGTGATGTGGCAGGATATAAGGTCAGTAGCCCTCCAGAATACAAATGATAAAGGTGCTACAAAGAACGCAAGAAACAGATCATCAAAAGAACAAATAATCCAATAAAAAATGGAGTACAGACCTAAACAGAGAACTATCAACAGAGGAATCTAAAATGGCTGAAAGATACTTAAGGAAATGTTCAGCATCCTTAGTCATCAGAAAAATGCAAATCAAAACAACTCTGAGATTCCATCTTACACCTGTAGAAATGGCCAAGATCAAAGACACTGATGATAATTTATGCTGGGGAGGTTATGGGAAAAAGGGAACACTTTGGCATTGCTGGTGGGAATGCAAGCTGGTACAACCCCTTTGGATGTCAGTGTGGCAATTTCTCAGAAAATTAGGAAACAACCTTCCTCAAGACCCAGCAATACCACTTTTGGGTATATATCCAAAGGATGCTCAATCGTGCCACAAGGACATGTGCTCAGCTATGTTCATAACACCATTGTTTGTCATAGCCAGAACCTGGAAACAACCTAAATGCCCCTCTACCGAAGAATGGATAAGGAAAATGTGGTACATTTACACAATGGAGTACTACACAGCAGAAAAAAATAACGACATCTTGAATTTTGCAGGAAAATGGATGGAGCTAGAAAACATTATTTTGAGTGAGGTAACTCAGACACAGAAAGACAATTATCACATGTACTCACTCATAGGTGGTTTTTAAACATAAAGCAGAGAAAACCAGCCTACAAACCACAATCCCAGAGACCTTAGACAACAAAGAGGACACTAAGAGAGACTTACATAGATCTAATCTACATGGGAAGTAGAAAAGAACAAGATCTCCTGAGTAAATTGCAAGCATGGGGACCTTGAGGGAGGGTTGAAGGGGGAAAGTGAGAGGCAGGGAGGGGAGCAGAGAAAAATGTAGAGCTCAATTAAAAAACCAGACCTAGATATTATTAAATTATATCTAGAAAATTTAAAATATTTCTACTGATCACTACTATGTTAGTGTGTTGCACACAAAAAAAAATTCAGTACATTTAGAGGTCTGGAGTGTCTCTTTAGACATTACCAGCTAAGCAGGTATCATCCATAAGGCTTTTCAACAATTTGACACGATTTTAGATTTTCTGATGAAGCATACTCAACATACCCAGTGGATATATTAGAAGATGAGAACACGTATCCAGAACTGATGGGATAAAATCATCATCTAGGCAGAAACTTGAGAATCCTTAGAGGAAATACTCACTCTCTAAAACAAGCAGTTTTACTATCTACTAAAGACAATCTCTAAATGTAAGTAATAAAATATGTAACTACTAAAGTCTCACACAGTCAGAAACTAATATTCAATGGAGACATTGTTCAACACAAAAAAATAACATCTGTCATGTATTCCAAATATTCTTTTCACACTAATTACTGAAAATCCCAAGACTGAAGTTCTGTGAACAGGTTCGTAGAATTCCTACAAAGATACCACAACCTTCTCCTTAGTTTTTTTTTTGTACCATTCTTATGTTTCCTTTTAAAGTTTTTTAAAATTTTAAAAAAGAACCTCTGAAGACCTTTTTTGTTAAGCTTGTTTGCTTGTTTTTGAGATAGTTTGTCTAATAGTCCTGGTTGTCCTGGAACTTGCTCTGTAGACCATGCTGGCCTAGAACTCAGAGATCTTCCTGCTTCTGTCTCCAGAGTGCTGGAATTAAAGGTATGCTCCACCACCACTTGGCAAGACTTTGTTTTTTGTTTTTGAACACAATGAAAATAAAAACAGAAGCCGAAACTGTGGATCATTCCTCTAATCTCCTAATTCAGGAAGCTGAGCAAAGTGGGGATCACATGGTAAGACCCTGTTTCTGTCAGGGACCATTGTCCTAAGGATGTTTGCAGAGAGCCCCACACCCCAACTATCTTGAGAACTGTTTGTTAACAGAATCACAAAAGGAATGTTTCTGCTTACACAGAGAACACTAGGTGTGCTGACTGGTGACCTTTGCTATCCCGGCAAAGTTACTTCTTACCCCTACCTCCCACCCCAAGCCAAGTTCCTCATTCAAGGGCTATATAAGCCGCAACCATTACCCTAATGAACGGAGACCTTGACAACTGAATCTTGCTTGGTCTCCTTCTTTTCTCTGGCCCATGATTCATACAGGTATAACCTCTTCAGTCCCTGAATAACTGGACCTGCTGGGTGGGTCATGTTTCCACAACAGACAAAAGAAAATTATACATTACATATACATGTATAATAACTTTCAAGATGTACTTTCAATTCTAGAATAAAGAGTAATTTTATTAGAAACAGGTGGTTCTCTGTGGGTTTGGCCCAGTCTAGTCTACAACATCAAGATCCACTCCAGCCATTTCTATAGTAAGAACCAAAATCTGAATAAAAAATAAAATATAAAATGAAAAGATTTTTAATGGTATGTTTTGTTCCAGGTGAAAAGGACTATGAAAGAATGGAGTCATGGTATCTGTTTCATTCCAGGAGAAGACAGATACATGGTGCAAATGAACTGCAAAGTGAGGTATAATTTAGGAAATGAATGTGACAAAAATTACTAACAAACTGCTTGCTTGGAACTAATCAAGAAAGGTACAAATAAAAAAGAAACAAAAGCCTACAGGTACTTAGGAGTACATTTATGAAGAAAAATAAAAATCAAGAAAGAAATAGAAAAATGTAAGCAACCAAACCAGCACTAAGCCTGCGTCCAGCCAAAAATTATAAGGAAAGCTTCCAAGCAAATATCAAGTTGTAGCTTGACTTTTAAGAGGATCACAACGACTCTTAGCACAGGATGCATGTTCAACAATTGTTGAATGATTAAGTAACAGAATTTAGTGAGAATAATTTCAACTGTAAAGCAACTCACTGCCTCACTAAAAATTGGTGAAATCATTTATAGATGTTTTCTTTAGTAAACATTTAGGAAGAATGGTAATGGGTGGCAGGGACCACCTGGTGGCCATTGCTGCTCGACAAATCCTAGCATTTACACTTTGCAGACCACAATTCTCCAGCACCCTGTCACGTTCACTCTCAATGATTTGCACTATACATTTGGGAGTTTCTTTATGCCTTTTCCTTTGGGATATT